AAATTTCTCCAAATCTGTTCTGCTAAAGAAACTAACTAATCTATATCTTGGATGGCCTGAGGGTGAGTAAATCTTCAGAATTTTTTTATTTATGGGTACATCAGGACAAGCCACTATCAGATATTTTAGAATATTTTAGTGCAGGTGCAGGTAATTTCCTAAAAGAGGGGTTTTCTAAAGGCTTTAAGGATGTTTTTATGGATGTCTCAAGGATGTAAGAACTTGTGTCAGAAATAGTGGACAACAAAACAGTAATCAGAGTTGGATACTTATGGAGGCTTATGGCTCATGACAGTCTGCTGTTTCTTGGTGAGACCCTAATATTTAAGTGTTGCATTCGTTATGACAAAAGTAAAAGGAAAGTAAAATGGAACAGAGAGGCTGTCCATCATTGAGCAATGACAAAGGTCTGTGACACACAGTGAATGCCAATAAACTGTTTTCTGACATGGGCTGACCTTGTGTCAGCATCTGGAGTCTGACTTGACTGATATGTGCCAGAGCTCTAAAGTCTGAGGGATGATGGAAAACTCTTGCAATAAAACACAGAACTGTAACCTCATGCTGCCTGCACATTGCACATCAACTCCTTGCACATTGCATTGTGTCTATATCAGTGATTCTCAGCTTGTGGGTTGTGATCCAAAAACGTGTTGTAGTTCTGTTCACTTAGGGTCACAGACAGGAGGAAAAAACAATACTAAATGCAAATAAAAATGCAAATAACTGTAAAATTGTACTTAGACAAGAAAAATATGACTATGCCTTTAATCAATAACCTTTTATAGTAAGGGCAAGACATTTGTTTGTTTTGTTTTTGATGTCAAAGGCTGTGTATCCAGTCAAATACTATGGCATTTTGGTGCAAATTCATCAGACAAATCTAGAATCAGCCAAATTAGACGATGCAAACATGGATGGGTTGTGTGACAAAAAATGATTCTCAAAAATCATAAACAAAACTGGTCCCACTTTATATTAAGTGGCTTTAACTACTATGTACTTACATCAAAAAATAAGTACAATGTACTTAGTGTGTTCTTATTGTATTGCAAAACACTTTTGCTGCTAATTGAGTGGGATACAGGAAAGGTTAGGGACAGGTTTGGTGGTAGGGTGGTTTAAGGTGTAAGGGATGGGTCAACAGTGTAATTATAAATGTAATTACATAAATTAATTACAGGTGTAATTACATGCTGCTATTTTAAAAATATAAGTACAATATAAAAACATGTATGTACACAATAAGTGCATTGTACCAAATGATTAATTTAAATGTAAGTACATAGTTGTTAAGGCCACTTAATATAAAGTGGGTCCACAAAACTATGCAAGCCAAAACTCATTTTTGGCTTTCTCATTCTAGAAATGTTTGTTTTTGGTTATTAAAATAAAAGCTCAAAAGAATAGTTTTAGAATGTTAGAAATTATATTAATTAATTATATTAGCGTTAGGGGAATGTTTGGTTTGCTGTGTATATAGGTTCACATGCAACGTTTCGATGGTGCCAGAATGTGTCCTGCATGGTATATTATTGTCTGAATTGGCCTGAAGCAAAACCAGTTGAGAGCCTACTTATGATGAACATCTCTATGAGAACAGTGTTAAACAAGCAATAGAATAGTACAGACAAGAGAATGGCAGCAATTTTGCATCTGTACCAGAACGAGAAGCAGCTGTTCTTATAATATGATTATCCTCACTTCAGCTTCTACCTATATCTATGGCGCCTTGATCAGTTACAATTCTTAAAACTCCCAGGTACAATTTTTTTATGACATGAACATCAGGAGTGTGTAGCACCCCCTCTTTTTTAAACGTGTATTCAAATGCACCTCTTTATAATTCTGTTTGGTAAGAAAGGGTCTGTGAAAGTGTATTTTTCTCCTACATTGGTATTGACTATTTTTGTGACTTTAATAATATTAATGAAAATGATACATAAAATCCTGTACAAGATAAAGTAACATGTTTATGGATTGGTCTCAGTGAAGTAGTACTTAATTGATGGTGCTGTGGGAGTACATAAGACAAAAACAGTAGGGAAACAATGTGCTCAAGGTCATATGTAAGAACTGAAAGCCAGTCAGTTCTTGATTATTTATATATTATTAAATGTGAAGTAGAGTGCAGCAGAGTAACCTGATTACACAGCACACTACATCGATCTGAATTGCAGAACTGTTTTGGTTTTGAGCTCACTGAAAGGATACTGCCTTCTTTGCTTGTCTCCTGCATGCTCTCCATTCCTGGAAGGGCAGCTGCCACACGTCGAAACAGCTGCAGGAGAGAAGAGAGAACGCTGTTAGAGACTTCATGCTCGCAGCAATAATCTACAACTACAGCAATAACCAACAGCAGCAGCAGCACAGCAGATCTATTCCGTCAAGACCAAATACATTAACACTGTCATATCCATCACCATGCTAAAATCTTCCGAGAGTTGTCTTGATTGAACTTGACTAACCAGCGAACCAATCTTGTTGCACAGCATCTGAAATGCTGTTATAGTCATTCTTAAATGCCAGAGCAAAGTCTGTTGTCAAAGTATTTCTGTATAATTGCCTCCCAGAACTGTCTTACATGAATGACTGCGTTCCCAAAATTTGAAACCCAGCTTTGTTGTTAGATGGGCTGGTCTGAGTCTTTCACAAACTGCTGATCTACTGGGATTTTCACACACAACCATCTCTAGGTTTCTGTGGGCAAAATGCCTTATTGATGCCAGAGGTCAGGGGAGAATGGCCAGACTGGTTCAAGCTGATAGAAAGACAACCGTAATTTAAATAACCACTCGCTACAACCGAGGTATGCAGAAGAGCATTTCTAAATGCACAACATGCTTAACTTTTAAGCACGTGGGCTACAGCAGCAGAAGACCATATGGGGTGCTAGTCCTGTTAGCTAAGACCAGGAAAGTAAGGCTACAATTCGAACTGCCTCACCAAAATTGGACAATAGAAGATTGGAAAAAGGTTGGCTGGTCTGATGAGTCTCAATTTCTGCTGCGACAATCGGATGGTAGGGTCAGAATTTGGAGTTAATAACATGAAAGTATGGATTCATCTTGCTTTCCTCACTCCGCGTCTCCGCGCAGGCGCACAGCAGTGTAGCACGATCGGAACATGCACATCACAGACAGGCAAAGAGCCTCCCTCCCTTTCCAGTTGTGTTTGTCTTGGTGTGGAGGTGAGTGGTGATGAACAAAAGACTAAGCTACCTGTGCCTCGAATTTACAGCTAATTATCCAAAAGGCAAATATAGTTAATTTGTCTTGCTAACATCCATGACTCATGAGAGCTACCATGTAAGTTAGCTAAAGTTTA